GTTATAACGCTAAATACTTTTTATGCACGAAACAAAACAAAAAACATGTATTTATTCGTTTCACGAAGAAGATTATTGATGTAAGGAATGTTGCTCAATGTGTGGTCTATTGTTCATGTGTAAAACGTAAAAAAATGAACAACTGACTTTTCTCTTAATCTTTAATATAACGAATTAAGATATGACGTGAAATTTGTCTTCAGTATTTAGTGTGTTTCGTTTCGTGTATTTTCGTGTTAAGCACTTCAACAGAAATTTTCAACTACTTTTTTTTGGAAAATTTTTTATGCATTCTTCGCATAGTATGTATGCAAATTTCAGTGTTTATCAGAATATTGGATACAGTTACAGAATGTAATCAATATAAAACGCTAATTATGGTCACACCGTCTATAAACTTTACATCTATAACTATATATAGATATTGCCTACAGAAACCAAGAAAACACAAACATTAAACTGAAATTCTAGCCTATACTCGTGTCATTAATCATAATCATGTTACTGACTAAGGAATAAACCTTGTCTAATCAGTACTGCTGGTATTGTAAGATGGTAATAATGCATTTCCTGGAATGCAATGTGAAATTTTTCCTTTCATTATATCTCGTATTTGTAACATCATTTTAAAAATAGCATACAATGCATGATAGACCTGAAAAATTACAATAAAAACAAATTTTAAATTACACAATTAGATTTACAATTCTTTAAAATACAAAGATAACTTTAACATTCATAAATTAATATAAATACGCTTAACCTGAACAGGAGTTTCTTTGGACAGTATGAAACAATCTCCAATACTGGCACCGATTAAGTTCTCTGATGGACAATTGGACGGCCCCAGTGTAATAGTTCGTGTCGACAGATATGCGTCGTTTAAACGTCGGAGAAACGGGGAATATTTTCACTACGGAGGATACAACACAGTATTAAAATTTGGTGAAGTTCTTCGTGTCCTTGGATTGGTCATCATTATAAGCATTTTTGGGTCCTAGATCAATCATTTTGATTGGTCGACCCTTTTTACCTCTGCTTTCTAACCGGTCTGATGATACCTCAGTAAATTTCAAAGTTGACCCGAGTTTTTTTTCGATTCAGTTGGATATCTTTATCAGGCGAAAGTGACAATTTATGACTCAGAACATTGCATTGAAAATATAGATAAATTTAGCGGACCAGTAAGAACTTGTATTCTGGAAGAAAGATTGCCTCTATCTTCTCATTTCTCCAATCCTAATCTAAAACTGTACCTCTCCTTTAGATCCGTCGTCGACAGGACACGTGAATAAATTCGTTAATTCAATTACATATAACGACATCTGACTAATTTCTACAAGCAAAAATCAAATGTTTTTGTATTTTTGTTGTTTAAATCGTTTAGATATCGTTCTGGGTTTTAATCCTGGCTACTGCCAAATGTTTACTATCGTTATTCTGGAATTCATTGTTCTTTTTGCGGAAATGTTACTTATATTGCGTTTCGTTATACATCTAATTACACTATTAATACTTTCATTTTGTTTACTTTTTAATTTTGAATGTTACATCTTTATGAGCACCAACGATGAATGGTGAACATGAAACGATGAATGGTGAACATGGTGAACAGAAAACATTATGTGCGCAATGAAATAAAGGGTAAAGCCAAACAGTACAAAAACTTAAAAAACTTTAAAATGACTGTCCATTAAAATGAATACAGTAGACCCCTATAAAACGGGTTCCTATAATTACGATTCCTATAAGACAGCGAAAAAATTGCGACGGTAACCGTAAAAAACGGTAAAAACTCCTATTATTATGTAAAACGTCATCGGGCAGCCGAACTACTTTCTGCGCCGTCAAGCGCCACGCTACGGAGAGATTATTATCGTCTGTACAGTATTATATATAAATTAGGTATAAATGAAGTACTGTACATATAATTATATATTAATTATATATAAATTAGGTACTGTATATATAATTATATATTAACTTATTGTAACTTTGTTATAATTAAATATATAATTTCCGCCGTCTAGCGTGGCGCCACGCTACGGAGATTTTTACGCTAACTATCGTCTGTCAGTATGTAAATTAGGTACCGTAAGTCTAATACAGTACTGTAATTTTATACATTTCTTGTGAAAGAAACATTTCTTATTCAACGGCGATTAAAATTATTTATATTAATGATGTCTCCGAAGTTCTACGAAGTTTTCACAGAAAAATAAGTTGTTAGAAATCGGCCGCTCTTTGCTGAGCTGTTCCGCGACGAAAACAATGTTGAGCAATGGCAATGTCGAATGGTGACACTCGGTAAGTAATCCTACAATTTTTTGTTTATAGCGTAGTTTATACGGATTATTCCCAAAAAATATATACGTATTTTGGAAATGTTGAGTCGGATTAGTCTAGAATCGATTAATTTTATGGAAGAAAATCTTTCAAACAGCCGTAGTCCGTAAACTTGACACGTGTCGGGTTGTGATTGGAAGGATTCGTAAGAAATCGGATTCCTAGAGAATGGAACGTATCTCTATCTTATAGGGGGGTCGACTGTACAGGATTCCATATGACAATAGTGAACTAGACATTAATAAAAATTATATTGGTGTCACTAATAGAAGTTTAGGAGTCAGATTAAAAGAACACAAATACAATATCAGCAAGGGATCTAATGCCACAATACTATCGCAATTAGCGCAAGTTGAGGGCTCAATCGTCAAATGGGACGAAGCAAGTATTATTAAACGAGTACATTCACCGACATTGGCAATTTGCGTCGAAAAAAATTGAAATATATAAGAGCAGATTGCATGATGCATGTATTAATTCTAGAGATTCGAAAGGGTTGCCTTCGGCCTGGAAGTACTTAATCAAACGATTAGACAGCAATTAATTTAATGCCTTGATTTTAGTATTTTTTTGCCTATCTTGCATTTCATTGAATTTCATATAATGTATTACTATATAACATTTTAATATTTAATTAACCTATGCTTATTTTTCCATATACATATTTTGTTATTTATAATAATTTTTATTTTATTTTATTTTTCTTTATACATTTATATATATATATTTCATTCGTTATTCTATTTTATTTGTATTTAAATTTTTGTTCTATTTTGTTTATATTTGAATATCTTAGCCTGATGATGGCCAACAGATTTGGCTGAAAATGTTTGCTTTTCATTAAATTTTTCTCAGCAAATTAAGGTGTTGTGTTTCTGATTTACATACAAGTGCCGAGTGAGTATACCTCAACTATAAAAAATACCACGATTGGCCCTAAAAAAAAAAAAAAAAAACCAGGTGAATGTTTCTACATTTTTGTGCAACATTTGAGTAATATATATCCCGGATCTGGAAGATTACCATTATGGGAAGAGCCCAAGACCGTGTTGCTGCTCCTGTCAATAAAAAAGTAAGAAGAAAGAAAATGCGGCGGAACAAAAAAACAAAACAAGACGTCTGAGAAAACTGATAAGAATCAGAGTAAAAAAAGGATTAAAGTCCAGATACCTATACCGTCATCTCTGATTCCAGCAAACAAAAGGTAACAGCGAGGACGCACGTTCTAACCTAACCTATTCTAATAATTTGGTTGGTAATAATTATGATAATTTATTAGAATAGGTTAGTTTAGGTTAGAACGTGCGTCTCCACTGTTTCCTTTCTTCTGTTTGCTGGAATCAGAGATGAGCCGCAATGACGGTATACGTATCTGGACTTTAACCTTTAAATTGAACGTAAGTAAATTTATCGTCTGGCATAATTTATTTTTAGTAAATATTTAAAATAATTCGCAACTGCCTCCATCTTCGATAACTACGATAACATTAAGGTAAGGTTTTTTAATTATTAATATTTTGTACTTTGATTTTTTTTTCTTTTTCTTTGTTTTTCGCGGCGGGACGGTTGCAACGGCCGAATTGGCGACTGACGCCATCTTCGATACCTAGGGTAACATTTATTTTTTAATACCATTCGATTCAGCGTATCAAATTACATCTAGATATGTCTATGTCTATTCATTAATATTAAGTTTAAGACCTTTTTTAGCTGGATACCGTTTGCTTTACTCTAACCGAAAACGTTCGCTTCGGCCTAACCCGGACAGGAAGACAAAGTCGTAAACAACAAAATGGCGACTGCAGTTTGTCTTTGACTCGGAATTTAAGTTTAATACTTACATTTGCGTCAAATCTTCTTCAAAAAACAATAATATTGCTTAATTAACCATTTAAAAAGTGTCTCCGACTGATTCCCGTATTTTTTACACGATAAACAACACAGACCATCACACTACGAATAATAACGTTCTTCTACAGTCGTTAGGCTCGAGTTACACTGACTATTGCGCTCCCTAGTGGTGAAAGATGGCAGAAGTTACATTTACCTTAATACTAGGTGTTACCAGAGTCGGTAGATTAACTGGTCTTTCGACTTCCTATCTTCGCTCGTTGCTAGAATCAACTAGAGACAAATGTTACCACCAGGGGCACTGCAATCACTACAAGACCGCTAGATCGAATCCCTGTGAGGTCGAATGTTTTCTTTTTATTGAAAGATATATAACCTTCGAGTTCGATTTCATAATTTTTATATGCATTTTATTATAAGAATGAAAAAGCTTTTATTTAAACCCAAAACCAGGTTTATGGATAAATAAATGACACTTAATAAAACATTAAACACCTTCTATCGCTGAGAAATGTTTATTTAATAAAACACTAACATTTTCAGCCTCATGGAATAAACTATCCTCAGGTGTAAATGAGTTCGAACGTATTTTATTAAATAAACATTTCTCAGCGATGGAAGGTGTTTAATGCTTTATTAAGTGTTTTAAAAACGCTGATTTTATATTTAGTTAAATAAATGACAAGGAACAAAACTGACACAATAGTATTATTATTATTAAATTGTGCTATTATGTGAATTTATTATACGTTAAAAATTTATTGTACATACAAACAAATTATATTATACATATTAATAATAATTATTATTATTATTATTTGCGTTATTAAAATTTACTTTAAGTGAGAAATTTTTCTATGGTTTTTACTTTCAACTGATGAAATAAATGATTGATTAATCGTTCGCGTGAAAAAATGCAATCGACAAGTAACAAAAAAGTGCAAAAATCTGGAAGTCAAGTAGGACTTGTGACCAGCATTGTCACATCCTATCATCAATGTAACAGAGCACTGATTTAATATATTATCCATTATTGAAAAATAAACATCCATGTTTGGGTTTGTTAATTTTTCGCATACTTTGCTTTCTGCCCAGTACATCAATTGGCAAAGCTTATAGCTTGGATATAACAAACCTCCTCGAGATTTGATGAATGTAAATGTCTTCTCTGGTGCAGCATCCTCAGGTTTTGCTGTTAATATATTTTTGCATTCATCACAACCGAGTGATGGCAGTAGACGATAAATAATATAACCTCCTAAATAATGTAGGATAAACTTAAATGTTTCTGGTGTACAATAATCATGATCTAATAATTCACTATCACTAGGATCTCCATAGTATAGACTTGGATCACAAAGCAAATTTTCTAAATGTTCTTCCAATTGTTCTTGAACTTCTCTGAATGGTTTTTTATGACTATGAAGAAGATTTTTTAAAGTAATAAGCATAGATCCTGGATCAGTTTGAACTGATGCTCGTTTGGGAGGACGAACCAAACTGTACACAGTCATCAGTCTGTACAGGTATAAGAACTGTACTGTTGTGGGATGAGAATTGCTTCCACTTCCTTGTCTTATCATTCCAAAGAAACGCTAATTGAAAAGAAAACATAAGTTAAGGTTTAATACAAGATTATATAATCATTACACTAAGTCAATTTTACCTCTAATGGGTCCTGATTAAAGTGAGCTGTCAGGATATAATATGAGTTTGGAAGCAATTGTCTGACGAGTGCTAAGATACTAGTCAGCGTCAAGCGTAGATTTTCTGCTGTCTGGTGGCTCAAAAATCCCTTTTGATCAGTGCTTCTAATCTGTAATCTGAATGCTTCCCATCTATTTAACCATTCTAGAGATTCTTCAATAACCTATTTTTAAAAAGTTGTTAATTAAAACATTTATAGTTTTTGCTAGTGAATCATTACTATTACCTTGAGATCATTTGAATCATGTCTGATTCCTTCCTGTGGCAATCTACGATTTAAAGCATCAAAAAGAGCATTGATGTGACGTATGAAACTTATTGTAACATCTGCATTCTTTAGGATAGCAACCTCACGCTGTTTATAAAACAGCATAGCATCAGCAAAAGTATTACTAAATATCTATAAATATATGAGATAAATAAAAGTATTCTTATCAAGTCAAGATTATATAAGTAAAAAAAAGTGTTACTTGAGCTGCCAGCAATACACTCATTCTCTGGAAGTTATTGGGATTAACATGTATTTCTGTCACTTTGGGACATGCCTTTAATCCCTTTGGTAATTTGGAATCTTCATCAACAACTGCTTTAAAATGCTGTAATTCTACCCTTCCTTCAGGAAACTAAAAGTAAAAATGCAGAATAATGCAATGGCTTATATTATAAATTAGGTGAAAACACTTTATTTTCTTAGTTTTACCTGAAAGTATGTATTTTTCAAAAGATTGTTTCGCATACATTTTAAAATATGTGGTACATCAATAATAGCCAGTACTTGTCTATCTGCAGCAGGGTTTGTAAATGAGCATTGTATATTATTTGTGTCTGCACAAATTCCTAGAGCTTTTAAAGCTGCTTTGTTTGTGCTGGCACCATCACAAACTATTGCATTGACTATTGCACCACACTGTTCTAAATGAATAATTGCTTGCAAAATAAGTTTTGCAACAGTAGAACCTGAGACAGAGCTTTTTGAACAGAATGTGCCAATACATTGTACCCAACTAGCAAAGTGAGGTCTGAACATAAACACTAGGCCATGATCACCTGCTGTAAATTCACTCTGTGGCAATTCAGAATTGTCACCATAATCAACAAGTCCAATCATTTCACCAGTAGCTTTTGAAAGTTCTATATGTTTTTGAAGTGTGATTTCATCAAAAATTAAAACTCCCTGGCGTTCTGTTTGTGGAATTGTCTCCAATTTTGTCTTTAAAACAACAAAAAGATCTTCATCAAATCCAAATTTGGCATTAATGCCTCTGATATATTGATGCAGTGTAGACTGACAGGGTAAAGGCAAGTAATCATTATTTCTCAAAAATTCATAGAGAGATGGTGACCTAATTTTTAAAAGTAAACAGTCAAGTAACCAATTAATGTCATATCTCATACCCTTTTTGCTTTTTATATGGCATGCTTTCAGCATGTGCTCTATTATAAGTTTCTGTCTTGGTGGTAAGGAATCAAGTTTATCAGCTGACAACTGTTTCATTTTAAGTTCAGTATTTTCTTGATGAAGCTTGAGATTTTCTGTTTGAAGAGTTTTCAGTTTCTTCCTATAGATCATCTTTTGCTTTCTGCACCGATATAAATCCTCTTTGACTTTTAACAATTCAGACTGCAAAGCAGAGATTTTATTGACATATAACAGCTCAGGATGCTGTGTAGTTGCAGCTTCAGATGTGGAGGGTTCTTCTACTTCCTTTTCTACAGTTGTTACTTGGGAGTGTGTATCATGCAAATCTAATGATTGATAAAAAAAAATATCAGACAATTAATCTTAAAGTATTTATAAGGAAAGATGGGCCACAGAGAGATAACCCTCAGTGAATCACAGTGGATCTCACAAACCCAGCTCAATCTTTACTTAATTTTTAAATATAAAATGTTCCTTAAATATAGATAAAATAGATAGATAGATAAAATTTAATTTTATATTAAAACACAGGGTCCGAGAGACGCACTGCGACTCAGGCAAGGGCAAAAAATTACATGACTCACTGAGGATTAAGATTACATAAAAAACATAAATAGTTACCTTTGGTATTGTCTTTTTGTGATCCCTTCCTAGATGGTTCTTCATTTCTTGTGAGACATCGCGTTGATCGTTTTTGAGGTACAGACTTACTAATGTACTTAGGACAATTAGGGAAGTTTGATGGATATGCATCCGACGTTAATGCCCAGTGATCTCGTGGAATTTCTACTTTCTCTCCATTTATAACATGGGAGAAGGCTTTTAAAATAAATCTACTCGCAAAATGTATGTCACAAATGTAACATTTATTTGTTAGCATCTTGTCGTCTCGTGGAATGCATGGCATCCACTCCTCAATCTTATCGCTAGGAGCACGGAAGAAATGTCTCTTCTCGTTCGATGACTGATATCCTGCCTCGCATCCTTGCACAAAGCACGTTGGCATTTTTATGTAGCTAAAAAAACAATTATTATAGGTCAAAATCACTGACTTCAGTATATACCTAACAAGACCAACGCTCTCCTTCTAACAGTGGCGCGGACTAGCGGCAAATATTGCCTCTAGCTAAGTTTGAACTATTAGTCAAAAGACCAGTTAATCTACCGACTCTGACTATAGTAAACAACTTTCTCGCCTAAACTCTCCGTAGCGTGGCGCTTGACGGCCGAAAGTATATATGTAATTATAATAAAGTTACAATAAACTAAGTTAATATATAATTATATATACAGTACCTAATTTATATATAATTAATACTGTATATGATTATATGTACAGTATCTAATTTATATATAATTAATATATAATAGTGTACAGACGATAATAAACTCAATTTACTCGCCTAAATTCCTCGTAGCGTTTTACCGAATTATAGTTCTTTTACCAGGTTTGTATGGATACCGTCGCAATTTTTTCGCCGTCTTATAGGAATCGTAATTATAGGAACCCGTATTATAGGGAAGTCTATTGTAATAAAGTATATAAGTTCACAATAATGATAAACTTATCTTAAAATAGTTTAACAATAAATAAATATTTTAATATTCAGAATAAACAATTTTCTGACGAATTGTGAGCTTGGCTTATAAAAAGTTTGAGAAAACTACTTACATGTCGCTTACAAGACAAAAATAATATTCGAAAACACTCAAATAAGCCCATTTGAGATCGAGAATGTGATTAGTTTGATATGTGTGACTTTAGTCTAAACAATATTTAATCCAGTACAAAAAAATAAATAAGTAACAAGTATTTAATGTATTAATAATTTATTATAATGTGATTTGAAATCTCAGTGGAGACACACTGTGGCCAATAAAATGTAACCATTAAACAGTGATAGTCCACGATAGAATTGATTTTGATTAACAATACATCCGCGATAGGTTTTCGAAACCTTTTTTCAATTGTCTAACATCTATACAGATGCCACTTTTCTGTATGTGTCCTTAAGATTAACGTTCGTTCTGTGTTGGATAATGTAGCGAAGTACAAAGTATTAATATAAATGGCGCGAAAGCGGGCTCTTCCGTAAATTGATTTATGTTCTACGGCATTGCTAATTACAGTACATAAGATAATATAAATTACATATAAAACTAAAAGGAAACAATACGTTATTAAAAGGATATTTCGCATTACGATTTGATTCTGCGGATTTTCTATTTCTTATCGCCAAAGCCATACTTAATAAATAGCATGAAAATATTCCCTTCATAAATGGTCCGNTAATATAAATTACATATAAAACTAAAAGGAAACAATACGTTATTAAAAGGATATTTCGCATTACGATTTGATTCTGCGGATTTTCTATTTCTTATCGCCAAAGCCATACTTAATAAATAGCATGAAAATATTCCCTTCATAAATGGTCCGTATTCTTGTCAACTTAAATCTTCAATCGGACTACATGCGATGATTTCGTCTACGGATGAAAATGTGAAAATTCATGTCATTGCCGTATGATAGAAGAAAATTGTTCCTACTATTTTTCAATAAACAGATATAATTTTGGTTTTTCTGGGTGGTAATAAATAACGTTTGCACCGTTCGGCAATCTTATCGCCGAAAATTCGCCCAATTCTGTATAACGAATAAATATGCATCACTTATATAATGTTGATATACATTAATACTTTATGATCGTCTTATTGTTTGTACATTGAAATCATTTCCCTTGTAATCCAGAATAAGACTTCTTAAATTCAGTACGCTAATTAAAGACATCGACCAAACGTAAAGTGTATAAGAAGCTTAATAATTCCTGTGCTATTTGTCGATAATATTTAAAATTTTGAGGGCGGTTTGTTTGTTTTGAAGATTGATGCTATTAATACGGAAAAAATGCAGATTTTCGAAGTGATATTGATAAATACAGATGTGTTCGTTTTGTTAGGAAGTATGTTACTTTGGCATCATGTTTTAATTATTTTTGCTGTAATATAACAGAAATTAACTCGAAGCGACAGAACTATATAAACCAAGATGAAGCAGTGTTAGACGAAAAACCAAGGTGAAAAATCCCTTTCACTTATCAGGATGAATGATCGAATTTGAAGTAAAGACTCCATTAATTGTTCGGGTTATCAGTTATAAATATTTCGGCATATTCTTCAACGTTTAAGACAACTCGGACAAGGAGGGTTGAGTATTCGTGGACATCCATTTATTTCATTAAATTTTATACGGTATGCATTTTATTGTATTTATTTTAGTTTCTTGAATGTTTCATTTTTACTTTGAGTTAATTTCAGTTGTTTTAAATAAAAAAACTTTAAATAATAATGTCAGATTAACACACTTCCTAACCCAACTAACACATGTGAATTTTTCAACGACACTTCGGAAATACTTTCTATTAATAGCACCAATTCCCTAACAAATAGACCGCCTTACAAAGTTTCAGTTATTTTCAACAAAAACAAAAAAGAATAGTTATTAAGTTTTAGAGCGGGTGAAAAAAATGTTGCCTCTTAAACAAACATACTCACTTTTACTAACCTCCACACATAAAAAAATATCACTGACTTTATTGCATTTTTTTAATGTTTCAAAGTGAAGTGTAAAAACGTAATAATAATGGGAAATGATATCTTGACCGATTATCACGCTTTTTCTCTGTTACATAACATTGTATAAATGATGAGTGATACAAATAAATGGCGTAATANAAAATATATAATATCGTTGTAATACTTTAAGCTTTTCTGTAATAGAAAGTGGTAATGCGCTCATAATTCTTATTTCTTGAAACGAGTCATAAGCCTAAGGAATAAAAATAAACGAAAACATTAAAAACTATTAATATATACTTATGTTTATGTAATGAATACCATTAACTTACGGATCCAGAAATATGAGAAGCAGTAAAAGAGGCAACGATAGCAATAGTGACAACAAGAATAGTGGAAATGCACATGATGCCATGCAGGAGAACTGACATTTTAAAAAATACAGTGTTGTAGATGAAAAAACATACGAAACTCAGCAAAATACCGTAAAGGAGAAACGAACATTCGCTCCACTTATCGTTGACCTGATTGATAAAATCGCACAATTCGACATGCTTACCAATTAAATTGTGGATATCTCGCTTCGAACATTTAACGAAAAGCCGTTGCAATCGACGAGACAGAACGTTGAATCTTTCGATAATCGCAAATTCCCCCACATGAAGAATCAATATCGCCCACACGAATAGAGCAAATTCGTAAATGAAACAGACATTAATATAAACGGCGCAAAAGAGAGCTCTTTCGTAACTCGATTTACGTTCCACAACATTGCTAATTGCATAAGTTAATATAATTACATAGGGAACCAAAACGAAGCAATACATTATTAATAAGACGTTTCGCATTGTGATTTGTTGATTGCGCAATTTTTCTTTTTCTCCGCGATAACTGGAATTTCGGAGATCGTATACAAGTTTAGCTCTTCTTCCATTTTGTGCCAGTAATGCCATGCTAAAGGAAAAGCAGGCAAATATTCCTTTCATGAACGGTGAGTTGTCTCGTCCACCAAAATCTTCAATAGGACTACAGGCGATGATTTCGCCATCAAATGAATTTGTGTGAATACATAGCATTGCCGTATGACTGAAGAGAATTGCTTCTATTATTTTTGCATACACAGACATAATTTTGGTTTGTCTGAGTGTTAATCGATGATAATCGCATCTTTCGGCAAAATTATCTCCGAAAATTAGCCCAATTCTGTATGACGGATAAAGCATGCAATACAAGCAGTCTTCCTCCATTTTCTATGATTAAAATGGCTTAAAATGGCGTATGTTATATAAGTGGAAGAAACAATGAAAATTTATATAATATATAATACTGTATAATGCCAATTTATATCGATATTTTACGATGGTTTTAGTGTTTGTACATTATTAAAATGATTTCTTTTGGAATACAGAATGGGTCTTTTATATCATATTATGTTTGTCTATAGAGTTGTACAGAGATAATAATTTATGAGTAATCAATAAAAATTTTACTATGGCCTAACATTGAATTGAAATTATGAATAATTTATTGAAATGTCAACATATGTTTACTGGAAGATGTATTTTGCTTTTACGTAATAACTTAAAGCATGAATTATAAATTCGTCTTGTGCAGTAAAATATTGTTAATAGTTTTAAATTGGTGTTACTATTTTTCAATATGTATTGTCGTTAATTTTATCTCAATTAGTATTATAAAATGTAATAAGAAGAATGTAATTGTATTATTCAAAAACACGTATTGAGGTTGATTTTTCTTTTGACATTATAAATCAGAAATATTAAATTGTTTATCTTTATTCTTCAGATTTAAAATAAAAATTATAAATTATTAAATAATTTTGCATACACGACAGTCTAACAGAACTTTTTGTTTGTAGTGTATTTTGTTTTTATTACGTTAATGAAACATATTCAAGTACGATTTTTAAATGAAATATTTAGTAGAAGAATTAGCACTTGCATTTCGTTGTGTACGCGGATTAAAGACAGCAACCATACGTAAAGTGTATTAGAAGCAAAAAAACATGAGTAAGTGTTTCAATTTTAAAATGTAATTAAAAACGATTTAACGTAATATTTCGCCATTTATCTCTATTATTCATCATTTATACAATTATGTAACAATAAATACTATTTTTACCTTTCCGATTGTTATATAGCCTATAACAGAGGGTAGATATGTGCAGCACGATATTTGAATTGCTTATACTAGCTTATATTGTAAAACACATTCCTCAATACTCACAAACTTTTTGTTTTTTGTGTGTTTTGTTCATATTACGTTTATGCTCACAAACTTAGCTAAAATAGTGTTGTTGACATTTTGTTTGTGGTGTTCCTTCTTATGTAAGGTTTGCTGTTATGGACTAATGTAAGAATCCAATGAATTTCTGATGGTGTAAGAATTACATTTTTAATGGATTTATTGAGTAACGTAACAACTTATAGTTCATCATCCAGAAGTGCTTATGAGGAGTTTACCAATATCTTTTTCTGTTAAAAAAGGATCTTCCAATGAGCACTTTAAAAATGTTTAAAGTTTATTGACTGTTTCTACACTTGACAAGTTAAGCAATGAACAACAGTCAAAACAATTTTAGACATTTCATTTGCTAAAATTAGAGGGTAAAAGATAGATTGATATTTAATTTTATCAAGCTTGAATATTTGCTTGTATTCTGAAGACTTATCACACCTTTCGGAGGATGTTTTCAATTGAACCAAGAGAGTTTTTTTAATCCGTTCTATTCTACTAAATAGACATTTCAGACAGTTCTATCTGCAGGGGCGTGCCGTGACATTTGATGATAGGGAAGCTGTGTTTCTATAAGAAGCCGACTTCCAGGGGCAATCAGTTAATTCTTTCTTTAAATGTATTTTTAATAGATTATTTATCTGACGTACTTAATTAACAAGTTTAATATAATTACCTCTGTTATTAAATCCAATATATTCCATATGCCCTCTAAATACCAATTCTTGCTTTAATGTAAATTCATACATTATGTAAATTCATATATGTAAAAACATATAATTATAATTAAATATAGCTTTGTAATGAAACGTACATGAAAGTAACATAAAATATTCTTTACTCTTTAAACCTTAATCACTTAGTAAAATTGCTCCATACGAGTGGAATCAGAGACGGTCCTCCTAGGTGTGCGGTAGGTACTGTACATGCACGCGGGCTGCCAAATTTCGAGGGTGCCGATACCCTCGGGATTTGGCAATGTCAAATACTTCTTTTGTCGCATCACTAATATACCTCAGAAGACGCGACAGGGTTCTTGTAAATTTTAAACGTTTCTTACCATAGCTGTAGAAGACTAAATATGTTAAACTTAATAGATTGTCCGTCTTTTGTTTTCTAACTAATTCGTTTTAGGACCACGGTTAAATGTCGTCCACGGAAATTTCCAAAATTTACAACTTTTCGGTCACTCTCGTCGAACTGGAAAAATTTCTGTTTTTATTAGGGGTGACCGGGGCAAAATCGGCATGTTAAGCTTTACTTAAATTTTGTGTAATAAATACTGCTGTAAACTGAAAAAAGGCTTTGCATATTGTCTATTTGAATGTTTTCTTACTATAGAACTGGTTAAAATCAGTTTGGAAATAAAAATAATTAAAATAATTACAACTTTACAAGAAGAGAGAAATTTCCGAAGTTGCCCCGGATATAGGGGCAACTTCGGCAACTTATCTCTAATCATAAAGCAAATTTTCTAATTGTTCTTCCAATTGTTCTTGAACTTCTTTAAATGGTTTTTTATAACTATGAAAAAGATTTTTTAAAGTAATAATAATAGATCCAGGATCAGTTTGAACTGATTCTCGTTTGGGAGGACGAACCAAACTGTACGCAGTCATCAGTCTGTACAGGTATAAGAACTGTACTGTTCTAAATGAATAATTGCTTGCAAAATAAGTTTTGCAACAGCAGAACCTGGGACAGAGCTTTTTGAACAGAATGTGCCAATACATTATACCCAACTAGCAAAGTGAGGTCTGAACATAAACACTAGGCCATGATCACCTGCTGTAAATTCACTCTGTCGCAATTCAGAATTGTCACCACAATGAACAAGTCCAATCATTTCACCAGTAGCTTTTGAAAGTTCTATATGTTTTTGAAGTGTGATTTCATCAAAAATTAAAACTCCCTGGCGTTCTGTTTGTGGAATTGTCTCCAATTTTGTCTTTAAAACAACAAAAAGATCTTCATCAAATCCAAATTTGGCATTAATGCCTCTGATATATTGATGCAGTGTAGACTGACAGGGTAAAGGCAAGTAATCATTATTTCTCAAAAATTCATAGAGAGATGGTGACCTAATTTTTAAAAGTAAACAGTCAAGTAACCAATTAATGTCATATCTCATACCCTTTTTGCTTTTTATATGGCATGCTTTCAGCATGTGCTCTATTATAAGTTTCTGTCTTGGTGGTAAGGAATCAAGTTTATCAGCTGACAACTGTTTCATTTTAAGTTCAGTATTTTCTTGATGAAGCTTGAGATTTTCTGTTTGAAGAGTTTTCAGTTTCTTCCTATAGATCATCTTTTGCTTTCTGCACCGATATAAATCCTCTTTGACTTTTAACAATTCAGACTGCAAAGCAGAGATTTTATTGACATATAACAGCTCAGGATGCTGTGTAGTTGCAGCTTCAGATGTGGAGGGTTCTTCTACTTCCTTTTCTACAGTTGTTACTTGGGAGTGTGTATCATGCAAATCTAATGATTGATAAAAAAAAATATCAGACAATTAATCTTAAAGTATTTATAAGGAAAGATGGGCCACAGAGAGATAACCCTCAGTGAATCACAGTGGATCTCACAAACCCAGCTCAATCTTTACTTAATTTTTAAATATAAAATGTTCCTTAAATATAGATAAAATAGATAGATAGATAAAATTTAATTTTATATTAAAACACAGGGTCCGAGAGACGCACTGCGACTCAGGCAAGGGCAAAAAATTACATGACTCACTGAGGATTAAGATTACATAAAAAACATAAATAGTTACCTTTGGTATTGTCTTTTTGTGATCCCTTCCTAGATGGTTCTTCATTTCTTGTGAGACATCGCGTTGATCGTTTTTGAGGTACAGACTTACTAATGTACTTAGGACAATTAGGGAAGTTTGATGGATATGCATCCGACGTTAATGCCCAGTGATCTCGTGGAATTTCTACTTTCTCTCCATTTATAACATGGGAGAAGGCTTTTAAAATAAATCTACTCGCAAAATGTATGTCACAAATGTAACATTTATTTGTTAGCATCTTGTCGTCTCGTGGAATGCATGGCATCCACTCCTCAATCTTATCGCTAGGAGCACGGAAGAAATGTCTCTTCTCGTTCGATGACTGATATCCTGCCTCGCATCCTTGCACAAAGCACGTTGGCATTTTTATGTAGCTAAAAAAACAATTATTATAGGTCAAAATCACTGACTTCAGTATATACCTAACAAGACCAACGCTCTCCTTCTAACAGTGGCGCGGACTAGCGGCAAATATTGCCTCTAGCTAAGTTTGAACTATTAGTCAAAAGACCAGTTAATCTACCGACTCTGACTATAGTAAACAACTTTCTCGCCTAAACTCTCCGTAGCGTGGCGCTTGACGGCCGAAAGTATATATGTAATTATAATAAAGTTACAATAAACTAAGTTAATATATAATTATATATACAGTACCTAATTTATATATAATTAATACTGTATATGATTATATGTACAGTATCTAATTTATATATAATTAATATATAATAGTGTACAGACGATAATAAACTCAATTTACTCGCCTAAATTCCTCGTAGCGTTTTACCGAATTATAGTTCTTTTACCAGGTTTGTATGGATACCGTCGCAATTTTTTCGCCGTCTTATAGGAATCGTAATTATAGGAACCCGTATTATAGGGAAGTCTATTGTAATAAAGTATATAAGTTCACAATAATGATAAACTTATCTTAAAATAGTTTAACAATAAATAAATATTTTAATATTCAGAATAAACAATTTTCTGACGAATTGTGAGCTTGGCTTATAAAAAGTTTGAGAAAACTACTTACATGTCGCTTACAAGACAAAAATAATATTCGAAAACACTCAAATAAGCCCATTTGAGATCGAGAATGTGATTAGTTTGATATGTGTGACTTTAGTCTAAACAATATTTAATCCAGTACAAAAAAATAAATAAGTAACAAGTATTTAATGTATTAATAATTTATTATAATGTGATTTGAAATCTCAGTGGAGACACACTGTGGCCAATAAAATGTAACCATTAAACAGTGATAGCCCACGATAGAATTGATTTTGATTAACAATACATCCGCGATAGGTTTTCGAAACCTTTTTTCAATTATCTAACATCTATACAGATGCCACTTTTCTGTATGTGTCCTTAAGATTAACGTTCGTTCTGTGTTGGATAATGTAGCGAAGTACAAAGAATTAATATAAATGGCGCAAAAGCGGGCTCTTCCGTAAATTGATTTATGTTCTACGGCATTGCTAATTACATAAGTTAATATAAATTACATATAAAACTAAAAGGAAACAATACGTTATTAAAAGGATATTTCGCATTACGATTTGATTCTGCGGATTTTCTATTTCTTATCGCCAAAGCCATACTTAATAAATAGCATGAAAATATTCCCTTCATAAATGGTCCGTATTCTTGTCAACTTAAATCTTCAATCGGACTACATGCGATGATTTCGTCTACGGATGAAAATGTGAAAATTCATGTCATTGCCGTATGATAGAAGAAAATTGTTTCTACTATTTTTCAATAAACAGATATAATTTTGGTTTTTCTGGGTGGTAATAAATAACGTTTGCACCGTTCGGCAATCTTATCGCCGAAAATTCGCCCAATTCTGTATAACGAATAAATATGCATCACTTATATAATGTTGATATACATTAATACTTTATGATCGTCTTATTGTTTGTACATTGAAATCATTTCCCTTGTAATCCAGAATAAGACTTCTTAAATTCAGTACGCTAATTAAAGACATCGACCAAACGTAAAGTGTATAAGAAGCTTAATAATTCCTGTGCTATTTGTCGATAATATTTAAAATTTTGAGGGCGGTTTGTTTGTTTTGAAGATTGATGCTATTAATACGGAAAAAATGCAGATTTTCGAAGTGATATTGATAAATACAGATGTGTTCGTTTTGTTAGGAAGTATGTTACTTTGGCATCATGTTTTAATTATTTTTGCTGTAATATAACAGAAATTAACTCGAAGCGACAGAACTATATAAACCAAGATGAAGCAGTGTTAGACGAAACATCAAGGTGAAAAATCCCTTTCACTTATCAGGATGAATGATCGAATTTGAAGTAAAGACTCCATTAATTGTTCGGGTTATCAGTTATAAATATTTCGGCATATTCTTCAACGTTTAAGACAACTCGGACAAGGAGGGTTGAGTATTCGTGGACATCCATTTATTTCATTAAATGTTATACGGTATGCATTTTATTGTATTTATTTTAGTTTCTTGAATGTTTCATTTTTACTTTGAGTTAATTTCAGTTGTTTTAAATAAAAAAACTTTAAATAATAATGTCAGATTAACACACTTCCTAACCCAACTAACACATGTGAATTTTTCAACGACACTTCGGAAATACTTTCTATTAATAGCACCAATTCCCTAACAAATAGACCGCCTTACAAAGTTTCAGTTATTTTCAACAAAAACAAAAAAGAATAGTTATTAAGTTTTAGAGCGGGTGAAAAAAATGTTGCCTCTTAAACAAACATACTCACTTTTACTAACCTCCACACATAAAAAAATATCAATGACTTTATTGCATTTTTTTAATGTTTCAAAGTGAAGTGTAAAAACGTAATAATAATGGGAAATGATATCTTGACCGATTACCATGCTTTTTCTCTGTTACATAACATTGTATAAATGATGAGTGATACAAATAAATGGCGTAATACTACTTTATGACATCATAATTATTTTTTTTAATTATACTTTATAATTGAAATACTTACTTGCAGCTTAAACAATTTACGTATGGTCGATGTATTCAATCCGCGTACTTAATCGAATGCAAAAGCTAATTGTGCTACTAAACATTCATTTAGAAATCATATCTGGATATGTTGCATAAAAGCAATAATAAGAAAACACACTGAAAATTAAAACTTTTACTGACGTGTTAGCCAAATTATTTAATGATTTATAAGTTTTTCCTCTAAACAATAACGATAAGCCAATCAACATTTCCGGTTTATAACATCGAAAGCACAATCAATCTCTATACATCATTTTCTTCGTAAATAATAAACAAGGTAGTAATTAATCATAAATAATTAATTTAAATTAGATACTTGTAATTTCGTTTCATAATAATGATTCAATATAAATTTATAAATGAAAAATACCAATTTAAATCTAACAACAAAGTTTCAATTTACTAAACGAATTGAATTTATCATTTATTTTGATGTTTCGATGATTTATGCATAATTCTATTTCAAGGTTCCATCGTAATAAAATTGTATTGCTTATCGATTATCCATTATCTTGCAAGTAGAACTTTATAGACAAACTTACTCTGACATAACAATCTCGTTGTAGATTCCAGGAAAAAGCATTTCAATTTATAAACAGTAAAACGATCGTATAATATTAATATATATCAGCATTACATATGTAATGCGTATTCTATCAATTTCTATTGTCATTTTGATTTCTGTAACATAGGCAATTTTAATTCATTTATGATAGAAAATGGAGGAAGACTGCTTGTATTGCATGCTTTAACCGTCTTACAGAATTGGGCTAATTTTCGGTGATAATTTCGACGAACGATGCGAAAAACATCGATTGTCTTCCACACAAACCAGAATTATGTCTATTTACGGAAAAATAATAGAAGCAATTCTTTTCAGTCATACAGCAATGATATTTATTCACACATTTTCTCCCGATGACGTAATTATCGCATGTAGTCCTATCGGAGATGTGAATGGAAGAGACAACGCCCTATTCATGAAGGGAATATTTGCCAGCTTTTCCTTCGGCATTGCATTAATGGTACAAAATGGAAGAAGAGCTAAACTTGTATTCGATCTGCCAAATTCCGGTTATCCCGCAGAAAAAGAAAAAATCCGAAAAAATCAAATCATAATGCGAAATATACTGTTAATAATGTATTGTTTCAATTTGGTCCCCTTTATATTTCTAACAAGTTATGTAATAAGTAATGTCGTGGAACGAAAATCGAGTTATAAAAGAGCTCTTTTTTGCGCCGTATATTTCAATATCTGCTTCATTTACGAATATGCTCTATGCATGTGGATGTTGTCGTTTATTCATGTGGCGGCATTTGCGATTCTCGTAAGATTCAACGTTCTGTCTCGTCAATTGCAACGACTTTTCGTTAATTGTTCGAAGAGAGATATCCACAATTTAATTGGTAAGCATGTCGAATTGTGCGATTTTATCAATCAGGTCAACGATAAGTGGAACGAATATATGTTTCTCGTTTACGGTTCTTTGCTTACTTTGGTGTGCTTTTTCATATACAACACTGTATTTCCTGATATACGACTAACCTTTTATGTCGTAATGTGCCTTACCACCATTCTTGCTGTCACTGTTGCTATTGTTGCTTCTTTTGCTGCTGCTCGCCTTTTTATAGCCGTAAGTTAATAATATTAATTGCATAATCAAACGTATTTACTAATCGATTTTAATGTATTCATTTATTTTTTTTTCCACAGGCTTATGACTCGTTTCAAGAAATAAGAATTATGAGTGCATTACCGCTTTCTATAACAGAAAAGCTTAAAGTATTACAACAGAATTATATTTTGTTTCAATAAATATTTTTTTCGTATTTCGAGTTAAATTCACTTTATTATATTTTTAAAAACAGATATTAGATTTTATGAAGAGATTTCGAGAGAATTCTATCGGTTTCAGTATTGGTGGTTGTTTCATACTGTCCAAAGCAACTGCTGTTGAGGTTAAGGAAATTTATATTAATTTATGAATGATGTTATCTTTATATTTTAAGCATTTTGATCGTGTAAATGCATTTAAAACATGTACATATAATTGCGTGTTTTAAATCTAATTTTAAATGTAATTGCGTGATTTTCAATTTGTATTTTGTTTTAATTTTTCAGGTGTATAATGCATTGTATACCATTTTTAACATGATGTTAGAAATTCGAGATATAATGAAGGGAAAAAGTTCACATTGCATCCCACGAAATGCA